CGGATCAAATCTGCTCGTCGGTCTAATTATCTTTCCGCTTCAACAATTTCCCGATTAATCTAAATGTGATACTAGATTGGCGTTTAGGTCTCACCGTTTTACTGTCGATCTAGCTAGATTCAACCGTCAATTCTACTCTAACAGTCTCTAATTTCGCACTTCTCACATGTGGAACTACCGATTTCTTGCTTCCCTGATAGCTTCTTCTTCTGTGTCCCTTCAAATACGTAGGCGATCATTGCCCTCCACAATTTCCTGTTCCTTCTAGCTCTTAATAATTGTTGTCTTTTTGTTATTTCTCCTAAACCCTGCTCACGCCTGTCAAGCATGTTACGTGCTGCTTTCCTTTGTCCCTCTTTCCCTCTATCTGTCCTATGAGTATCAGATTTTCCAAACCCTCCTTCCTCATTACCGTGCCCCAGAAATTACAACTGTCTCTTTCTGGTGTTCAGTATGTTTCTTCTTTGTTACCATTCTCTCCAAAACCTCGTTGTTGCTCACATCGGTCCATGGTATCCTCAGCATCTTTCTGTAGAACCTCATTTCTATTGCTTCAAGTCTCTTCTTCATTTTTGAGGAGATTGCCGAGCATTCGCTACCATACAAGAGGACAGATATCACGTAACAGTTCAGTACACTTTTCTTTGTGGAAATTTCATGTCTCTTAATACTCTGCTTAGTTTTTGAATTGCATATTTGGCCATCCTAATACTTCTTCGGATCTCAGTGTCACACTTTCTTTCCTCTGTTAAAACACTTCCCAGATATTTAAATTTATGTACCTGCTTTGATTTTAGTAATTTGCACATTGGGCTCACCGTTGATGACCATGAATTCTGTCTTATAGGTACAATCTTCAAAAAATTTCAAGCGGCGTTAATCGCCATCTTCTGTTTACCTGAACCCTGTTCGTGTGTTGATCTTTTCCGTAGTTCTCGCTAAAGGATTTTCTTTCTCTCTTTTATTCCCTATACCCCACCTCCCGCGTCTTAGTGGCATTATCCCCTTGATTGGGATAAAATTATTAAAAAATGTATTCTCAATTCTGCATCCCTCCTAAAAATTTGAGTTTCTTCTTTGTACAGTGCTATTCAAAGCGAGGGAAAACATGGCTCTCCACGATTTCCTACCACAAAATGAACTTTTTCTTCATGGCTCTTCACAATTTTCTGCGACAAAATGAACTTTTTCCTCATCTCGGACATCGTTAACCTCCATGAAGCTGGCGAAATCACACAGGAATGTCGACGGAGCAAATGTGCTCGTCGGTTTGAATATGTTTCCGCTTCAACAATTTTCCGACGATTTTCCTAACCAAATTCATCTTAAATATTTTTTTTTTCTCATCCCGGGCATCCTTAACCTCTGTGAAGCTGACGAAATGGCGCATAGTCTTTTTTTAGCCTTTGTAGCTCTTAGTCTTTTTTGACACTCCTTCTACCGATATCGTTGCACCATCAATTCACACAAGCTGGTTAGGTAGGTGGCCCGCTGCCACCCACTGTCGATTTTGCATACGAAGACTGTTGTATGTATCAAATTTTCCAAGCCTTTCTTCCTCATGTGCTCAAGAAATTACGCTTGTTGCTTTCCTATTCTGAGTATAAGTATGTTTTTTGTTACCATTTTTTTCTTGGCATTCCCGGCAACCTTCTGTTTCTATTGCTTCCAGCTGTCTCTTCGTCTGTGAGGAAATTATCTCTTATTCACTTGCCAAACAAGGTGATTGATATTACATAAGAGTTCAACACGTTTTTTTCTTCAGATTCTTAATATTTTGATTAACATTTGGAAACTGAAACCATTTCTGATTTGTACTATTGTTTAGCCAAGACACGGCCTAAGAGCCACTCAAGGTAGAGTCTTAGTGAATGAGTTTTAAGAGCGTACAAGGAGTGAGTAAAACGTGTAAATTATATGAGGATATGTGATCCAAGACATGAAAAAGCTAAAAGTGATGTGATCTGAGAAGCAACATTTCTGGAGTGACATCTACAATGTAACAACTCTAGGGAAGAAGCTGGCTCGTTGGAGCTTCCTCCTTACTAATGGAATATAAAGGAAAAGATAATGAGTCGGCTAAGTGTGCGTAGTCTGGTGTGTCTTTCTTTTGAAGGCCTGGCCTGGTGAAACCAAAAAATGATGTTTGCCCGAATATCGGTCAAGAAAATAGCGACAGGCTAACGAGGGGTTAGTAAAGTATTGTCATTGGGAAAGGTGTTGTCGGGTGGAAAAGAAGGTTACGGCCAAAACGTCGCGAAACTGGATATCTTAACATTAGAGCGGACAAAAAAAAGCTCCGAAGTTTCTTTCCGAATTTGAGCCCTCGGTCCGCGCATTTTGCTTTCGAACAGAGTCAATAAAAAAATAAATAAAACGTTGGAGACCTCAGGGACAAACAGTCTTTTTCTTTACTCTTCCTGCTGAAGCTAGCATCAAACGCCACAAAAAGGGGCAAATCTGTTTGTTCACAGCTCAAGTTGGGGCCTAGAACTCGCTTTGAAGAGGACAAGAAAATCTTTGATTATCACGTGCACGATCGCCAGGACTTTTAGATTAGAGACAGTGTAGTATATACGTCTTTTTTAGATGTTTATTTGGGTTTAAGTTGTTAAGTTGACGAATTCCAGCTTATGTAACAGCGTTCCTTCTAGCGTGGGGGGTTTGATTGATTTGAACCTTTTAAAAACCTTTATTCTACATTCAACACCATCACTTGATATGACACCGAAAGTATTGAAAGAAAATGGCAGTTTTTTAGTGATTTTATCACATTTTTTTGTTATAATTTTAATAAATAATTATATTTGCTCTATTCTGTATTGAGCACTTGTTTAAGAATGGTATTTGTTGGTTACTGGAATTTATTCCGTATGCACCAATCTATATATATATATATATATATATATATATATATATATATATATATATATATATATATATATATATATATATAACCTTCATCCCTGCCGTGCGCCAACGGATTAGTAAATCATTGACTGACGCCAATTCAGTCGGATTTCTGATCCCAGGTAGAGGTAACTGACATCTAGCCACACTGATGAGCTGTGATACAATCTAAACAGTCTGTCTGTGGATGACAATATATATATATATATATATATATATATATATATATATATATATATATATTACATGAATCATTTCATAAAAAACAGATATAAAAGTTAATGATTTAAATGGCGAGAATACATCTTCGCAAACAAATTTAATAAAGTACATTAACCCCGAACCTGTGGATGACTGTTATGATCCTTGTTTATAAATTCCAGTTGCATAAGGTCTTTTTTTATTATTTTTTTTTTACAAGCTTTCGTCTGTTCCTACAGACATCCTCAGGTATGGAAATAGATTTGTTCTTGTTTTTTACTTCTCGGTAATAACAGGAAAATGAAAATATAGATGTAATCCGAAAAATGATTTTAGAAATTTGTTATTGTTAATTGTAAGAATTTTTTTTTTGGAGCGTGCGGTCGCAACACTGAGGTTGAATTTTTAAATTTTAAGATTGTGCGATTTTGTACTAATATGGTAATAAGAGAATTCTTTTATTCTGGTAGGTTTTTCAGTCAATGTGGCATGAACTATATTGTTCAATAAATACAGGAATATCACAGTTATTATCCGAAAGTTGCACGTCGGATAATAACAGAGATCATAATATTCATCTACAAGTTCGGGGTTAATGTACTTTATTAAATTTGTTTGCGAAGATGTATTCTCGCCATTTAAATCATTAACTTCTATATCTGTTTTTTGTATGAATTATTCATGTAATGTAAATTGAACTGCACCACATATATATATATATATATATATATATATATATATATATATATATATATATATATATATATATATACTAGCAGTAGAGCCCGGCGTTGCCCGGAGATGTAACAGTAAGAGATAGATCAAGTATCGACCATCACAAAGACTGAAAAAATAAAATTGACAAAGATTATTGTTTAAGGTTGACGGACACGCATGTCTTAATTTTTTGTTTTTTTACGAATTGGTCAAACCCAAACTCAAAGAAAAACATTGTTTTCAATTGTTATGAGTCTAACGATTGAATAGAATTTTATTCTAAACAATTGTCTTGTAAATGGAATTTTTAAAGCATTCTGAATGTAAAAATAAAGAAAAACGTGTGCGAGACAATAAGAAACACTACCTGCTAAAAAAAAAATGTGAAGGTTTGTTGAAATCGGTTGAAAAATATGAGAAATCCGATCCCATATATAAACGAACACACACAACCTGGATTTTATAATAAGTATAACTCGACATGAGTTGTCCCCATTTCATTCTAGAAACAGTGATGCCTCTTAATCGTGTTTTCAAATTGAATTCGTGCAAAAACAATTGTGTTTTTCCAATTTGGGGCGCTGTCAGAACCACCGCAAGGTAATTTTACGTAGTCCTGTGAAGTTTTGTTGAAATCGGTTGGAAAATGTAGGAAATCCGATCCAATATATAAACGTACAGACACACAAACACACACACAACCTGGGTTTTATAATATATATATATATATATATATATATATATGTGTGTGTGTGTGTGTGTGTGTGTGTGTGTGTGTGTGAAATGACGTACCATAAAACTTCTACCTTATTTGGCATGTGTTCTTACTTTTCATGGAAGCTTTAAGAAAAGCTTTTACAATTAGGTCCTACAGCCTTGGATTATAAATAGTTATGTAATTTGGTTTTTCATCCTAACGAAAAAATTGTCACGTTTCATTCTTAATACTAGGAAGCACTATACTAACAACATTTCTTATTAAAACTTTTCCGGCTTCTAAATTTTTTTTTTTTTTTATTAAGAACTCTGTGTTTTCCTGGGATCTTTTTTTCTTTTTTACATTCGTCTTCTGTCTGCAAATATTTTCAAGCCGAAGACATTGACGAAGCGTCTTCTTCTCGTCTAAGTGGTTCGGCAAAATAACAAGCTGTGTCAATAGGACATGAATTTGGATGCGGTCCAATTTGCGTTTCGTACGCCGAAAAGGTCGTGGCAGGATTTTCGGACGGAGATCGGGGGAGGGCCTGAGGCTTGCCGACATCCGTATCATTAATCATTCTTATAAGGTGACACTGACGCGTTGAGACGAAAACAGAGCAGACACAGAAATATGGATTAGAATAAAACACACACACACACACACACACACACACACACACACACACACATATATATATATATATATATATATTCATATATGTACGAAAGACTCAAAATACTAGAAGTTATTACTATATAAAATAAACAGCACTCATTAAATAAAAATATCATTCAACTCAGGAGAAGGTATCTTAAAGTGCATATAATACAATCAATGTGCTTATATATATATATATATATATATATATATATATATATATATATTGATGCATGATTCATTAAATAACATAGACAAGTGTTGTCTATTTTATGTAAATTCTTTTCATAGCGTCTGATAAGCTTAATAATATTATCATTAAACGAAGAAAGAAAATCACAATATTGATATATATTTTTTAATCCTATCTAAGCTTTCGGCTTACATAAGCCATTATCAAAGATGACAATTACATTACAATATATTAAACAATACACGGACAAAACAATAATGATAGTCTGTTTATGTTTACATGGAAGATTTCCAAGCAATGACAAACTCGTGAATATAAGATGCTGGAAGCAAAAATCGCACCACAACTCGTGACGTCACACATGACCACGCGAGAGTGAAAACGAGAAGTATTAAGTATGGAACGCCGTTGGTATAAACCAATGGCTTCTGTTATAAATTATAGGCATTTGAGAATATGTGTGGAGATTTCATAGTTTATTTTCTTCAGGTTAGGTTTCAACTGTTTTATGTATATAGCTTCAAGCATTTTTAGTTTTTGTTTATTGTTTTCATATTTAAGTATAGTTGTATTTTCAACGAGGCTTTTCCGGAATTGTGTACCCAGCCAGGCATGTTGTTTTAAATGTCTAAAAATGTTAGAGTTATCATTCAAATGTAGAGTCAAGCGTCGTTAAAGCGAGTTTGTGTTTACATAAAATAAATAGACAAAACTTGTCTATATTATTTAATAAAACATGCATCAATATATATATATATATATATATATATATATATATATATATATATATGGTTGACTTTCCCGTCGTATTCGACGTATTAGGGTCAAGCAGCTCGGTTCCTAGGAACCGACAGCCCGGACACCACCACATATGATTTGATTCTAGTGGTGAAGGCTTTAATTGTGATTATGGAATGTACATCATCTTCGATGTTTAAAACACAAAAATAAACAAAGAAATGGTGATAAACCAACAAAAAAAGAAATAAAATAAACCTGTTTTGACGCACGAGTAACTGACAGATTATTGGTCACCTTTATTCAACAATCAGCGCCGATTTTCCCACAACAGACAGACAACACGAAGGCAACGTTCGACAGGAAATAATATACATTAGCTAAGGTTACAGTAATAAAGTCTGTCAAAATTCACCTAATTAAGTAAATTAACAATATAATTAAGCGTTGTGAAAACAAATTTGTGGTGTGACCAACATAAATATTATTTAATTCGTTGGAGATACTTTTCAAGTTTATATATATATATATATATATATATATATATATAATTATTTATTTAAAATTATATCAGAGGTGTTGAAACAAATGGCTATTTTTGTAATGATTTTATAACATATTTATTTTATAATTTTTAAATAAATAATTATATTTGCTCTACTCTGTATTGAGCAGTCTTTTTAAGAATAGCAATTGTTGGTTATTGAATTTATTCCGTATACACCAATGATATACTTGTATATATATATATATATATATATATATATATATATATATATATATATATATATATATATACATTCATATTTCTCTCACTTAAACCTTCTTCAACTCACCTCTCTAAAACTTCTCTCTGTTAAAGTTTAATCTCCCACCTTCTCTCGTCTGTTACCCCTCTCTTTAGCTCTAACATTCGTCCCACACTCTCATACTTACACTCTCTAAATTCTATTTTTATTTCCGGAGTTGTTTTTTCTGTTTTCTTTTTTGAACTTGTAGGTCTGATGAATTGATCGTATTTACGATTCCAATGGAATAATTTATGACCATGGAATATTAGGGTTAAGCCTTTTATTATATCCTTACTCTGTCCTGGACATTGAGTTCTACCTGATTCTATCCTCTTGAATTTTTTATTCAAAAATATATATGTATCTGTATGTATTCATGTATATATTTATATATTTTTGAATATGTATGTATATTTACCACTAATATTAGCTATCTATCTATCTATCTATCTATCTATCTCTCTCTCTATATATATATATATATATATATATATATATATATAGCCCACATTAAATAAAGTATCATTCACCACAAGAGAAGGTAAAGCGCATATGATATAATAATATATACAGTGATGTTCGATAAAAAATTACTGACAGCAATATATTTTTTTGAAAAAAATTAAACAATACGTTTTGAAAAAAAATACACCAGCAATACATTTTGGGAAAAATATTACTAGCAATACTTTTTTTTTTAAAAAAAAAAGACTATTACCAGCAAGACATTTTTTGAAGGAAAAATTATTACTTAGATTTTTGACAAAACAAAATATTACCAGCAATAAAAGTTTTGTCGGCATTAAATAACCCATTGAGGTTGATATGTTTTGGAGATTGTTCATTTAAACGTCCCCTACCACCCTCACCCCACTGCGGAACTTCAGAAAACAGAACCGATCACAAGTGGATCCTTCACCTCATGCCCTGTCAATTTTGTTCGATGTGGTACGAAAGTATGGGGCACCCAGTGAGGATCGAACACACTGTTCAGTCATAATTGTTCTAGCGAGACAAGCTTGCTAACCATTACACCGCCTCGAGGTGCCCAGTTTCAGAAGCTATATATCCAAGCTTGAATTCACACAAAAAGGTAATATATACAGTGCTGTTCGATAAAAGTGACTCACGTGATTTTTTTTACTAAATGTTCTCTTCTCCGATGAAACGAAAGTTGAGCTAAATTCAAAGGATAAGCGATCTAAAATCCGAAGAAGAAGCTTTGAAAGCTCTTTGAATTTAGCAGGAAGTACTGTCAAGCATCCATTCAGTATTTATGTTCTGGGGATGCTTTTCTTTTCATGGAACTGGTTTCTTAAAACCTATTGAAAAGACCCTCAGGAGCGAGCAGTACAAGAGAATTTTAAAGTCTTGTCTGCTCCCTTCTGCTGAAAGGGTGCAAATAAACCCCACCAAACTCATTTTTATGCAGGATAATTCTCCCTCTCACAAATCAAAATTGATGAAGGAATACTTTGATGTGTGTGTTATGACATGGCCGCCCCAATCTCCTGACCTCAACCGCATAGAAAACTTATGGAGCATTATAAAGTACAGGCTCTTGAGAAAGCAGTTTAAGTTTCCAAGCAACGACAAACTCGTGTATATAAGATCCTGGAAGCGAAAATCGCACCACAGCTCATGACGTCACACATGACCACGCGAGAGTGAAAACGAGAAGTATTATATGGGGAAGCCGTTGGTATAAACCAATGGCTTCTGTTTTCAATTATCGGCATTTAAGAATATTTGTGGAGATTTCATATATATATATATATATATATATATATATATATATATATATATATATATATATATATTGGTAATCCGTATGGGTAATCCCAAGGAGGATGAAATCCTGAGAGCTCAATGTTAAACCAGAGCTAATATTTTTAGACATCTAAATTACTATCAAGCATTAAAATCTCTTCTTTACATAAATTGCTAAAACCCAATTACAGCCTCTTTTTCTTTACTTCCCTCTTCCTCTTCTTTTTTTTTCCTTTTTCCTTTTCTTTTCTCCTTCACCCCTCACATTTCAATAAATGACTTCCGTTAAGTTAACAGTCTAAATGGGTCAAGGTCTGGTCACCCTCCTCCCCAATACTAAGTATGCTTGAGAGATATGAAATTAATCCTCCTATACTCTACCATGTCTCTTTAACTACCCTTTTTTACTCTCTGTTAAATTACAAAACTTACACTACCCATCAATTTTCATTTCATTGTTCGTTTCATTTCATTTTTGGAAGTGCTATCTGAGGATCTATGCCCTTTTAAAAGGGCTCTGTGAAATAAATTATTATAATGGTACCTTAAAGTGGTATATTTTTTTTTAAAATATATATATATATATATATATATATATATATATATATATATATATATATATATATCCCACATTAAATAAAATAGCAATTACCACAAAACAAGGTATCTGAAGAAGCATATGATATAATTATGTGCGCATATATTTTATTAGTATTATATGAATAAATAAATAAACAAATAAAGAAACATAAAAAAAATAAATAATTAAATAATTAAATTGCTTTCTTTTTTGCACAGCCTATATATGCACAAAAGCTGAGTATCATCTAACATGTATTCGACTGTGAAAGCAGAATAACATATATTATAAAACACACATATATCACCGCCTCTAGTAATTATGTCTGCACACACACACATGTATATTCACAAAAGCTGAGTATCATCTACCATGTATTCAACTGTGAAAGCAGAATAACATGTTTTTATTACTTCAAAGCTTGCAAGAAAACTAAATTTCGGCATTAAATGATCCATGAGGAATTGATATGCCGCTAAACAAAGTTAGAATATATGGCAAGATGTAATAATGGCACAGTATTTAAAATATATATCAAATAATTAATCCTCACACTTTCAGGTTTTAAGCGTATATGAGAAATTATATACTCTTCAGGTAACACCCTATCAAACAGAGCGGGGCATTTATCTCTTAAATATTAATTTGAATGTTGTGTCTACTATGACATCCGCTCATACAGTACAACAACGTATCAGGTAAGTCAGTCAATCCAAGATAATGTTCCGCGTGATAATTTGAGCAAAAACTGATATAACAGTCCGAGTCTAAAAAACATTAAGTAAACTTTCTATGTCTAATCTATTTAATGTGACGAGAAAGCTGTCTTCCGATGAAACTGAACCCGAAAGAAAACA